CATCTAATTGAAACCACATTTCAGTACGTTGTTGTAATGGGATGTTTTCTAAATAGTCAGAAAATTCATTCTCCAAGAAATTTAGAAAACGGTCCCCATTTAATCTTGCAGGTAAAAAAAACGGTCCCACTAAAACGTCGTTCCAAATTCCAAGCCAGACATTAACAGAAAACTCTTGCTGAAATTTGTATTCTCTAACAGACCTGGGATTTTGATGAGCCCATAATTCCTTTGATTAATTATTCCACCTCTGGTAAATGTTGCCTCATCTGACCACATTATTTTAGATGGAAATAAAATATCATTGTGGCATGTCTGAAGGTACCAGTTACAAAAGTTCAATCTGTTCCAATGATCTTGAGGTAATAAATTTTGCACTTTTTGAATGTGGTAGGGATAGCGATTATCTCCTTTTACAGTTCGCCAAATTGTTTGTGGTGACACTCCCAATACAGCCGACGCATTCCGAACGCTGGTCTCAGGATGATTGTCAAAATGTTGTAAAATACGATTCCCTGCCTGCAAATCTCTTCGTAACGCTGCTTGAAATCGGTTGTTTTCTTGTCGAATTGAAAATGTTCCAGTCTCTCGCAATCTATTAAATGTCAACATAAACACTCTTCGGTTTGGCACTCTTCTGTTTGGAAATCGTCGTGCATATTCTCGCACCGCCTTTAAAGCATTACCGTTGCAGAAACCGTATACAAAAACCATATCAGCATATTCACTATTAGAATACGTACGCGGCATATTGCAAAAGACAAAATTCATCTACTGTTAAAGGCTTTCAAAGAGCGACTGACAAATTCATAACAGAAAGTGGAAAATGTAATCAAATATGTCGGTGCTAGATATGGCAAGAAATGTAAACATTTTTTTTCGATTTCTCTGAAACGGAGCAAAAACGAGCATATGTCTATAGGACTTTTTTTCTTAGTTTTTTACTCCTCTACACGCTCCCGAAGTTTTGCCATTTAATTTGTAAACACCCTGTATATATGAGTTGAAAATATATATGTTTAAAAAAATTCTTTTCCATATTAAGCACAGAATTATCTTGAATAATTTGAAAAAAAAATTGCATTTAAATCTCACAGAAAATTGATTTTGACAATTGTAGATCATGGGCGGTGAAAGATTTTGCGCCCATCGTTCCTCAATATGTTCAAATCTTCCGTCCGGAAAACAAGCTCCACGTGAAGTTCGCGGAGCACGTGGTGTGCGAGGATGAATTTAAATACGCCCTTTTGGCAAATAATTGCACATGTCCCGGCGCATCGACGTTGGTGACCTTGTTGCTACACACATCTAGGGGACAGTAAGTGCTGCTCAAAATGTATCATAAAGCATAATTAGATACAAATTTAGCCATACAAATTTAGCCATACAGTAGCCACATGCACGTTTTGTAGTATATACGATCATTGATTGTTCTACATTTCAATATTTATTTAATCTTTAGACACACACACACACACATATATATAATGAGAGGATTAATTTTAATTTCAATACGATGAAATGTATATATTACCAAATTACAAATATACATATATATATATATGAGATTTTAAAATTTTATTAAATACTGCAATGCATTTTACAAAATAATATGCTATGAAATATGTTATTTTATACTAGGGATGCATCAGATCGTAAAATTACCGGATACCGGATATCGGATATCCGATATCCGGTCGGATATCCAACCCGGATTTCGGGAAACTGTCTTCTAAAAAAAAACAGAAGAAGGATTGTAGAGAAAGAATTGTAATTTTGCAACAATATATACGATATTAATATGGCATTATAAATATGCATACATACTCATTTCTAAAACATTTATATAATAACAAATCAGCAATTTAATGATATAAAATTTCAACCGGATATATTCCCGGATATTAATGATATCCGACTATCCGGTCGAATAGTAAAAAAAGTACCAAATATTACCGGATACCCGATACTTTCTAGATATCTGGTGCATCCCTATTTTATACTATTGTTTACTCTGTATAATTTTATGTTTTGAACGTCACGTAGTATAAAGATTACATAAAGACGGAAAAATTGTGAATTGAAATCTTTCTCTTGACAGAGAAGGTCAACAATCACAGGAAGAATGGCACAGGTTATATGGTAAATGTTCCGGCAACGAGATTTATCACATAATTCTCGGCGACTCCCGCTTTTTCGGAGAGTACGAGGGAAAATCTTTCACCTACGCGTCCTTCCACAGCCACCGGAAATACGGGGTTGCGCTTGTCGCAGTCAGACCGGCGGTTTTTTTTATCCTGGTAATCTCGCGACACATTACCGGTGTCTTTCCTTTTTCTTGGGTACTTATTCCAGCTTTTTATTTCTTGAATAAAATAAAAAAATAAATAAGAAAAGATCTTGAATAACAAGAGACATTGAAATTTCGATTTGATATTTTGCCTTCTTTTATACAATTTTTTGTCAATTTGTTGAAAAATGATTAATTATACATCAGGAAATATTATAAATATTATAATAACTAAAAAAAGGAACAATAAAAAATAAAATGTTTAAATAATTTGATTAAATTTTATAAATATGTAATAAAAGGCCGCCACATAATACGTGCGCCAATTGTATACTTCTGTACGCAGGACCACGACATATAATGAAAAAGACCGATACTTGCTACTACATGAGCATCACCAAAGAGGAAAATTCCGCGTTCGTGGTCGCGAATAATCAAGGTGGTATTGGCGAGGCAACGCAGGTGATCGTCGAAACAAAGACGGACGCAACATCTGCTAATAACGGGTCGACAACGAGTACCCCGACGACCAACGCTGTAACGGCGACCATGAATTCTACAGGGGTAACATCGGCGACAACGACGACGACTACCACCACGACGATATCGACCAGCTGCACCGGTTGCGGTGATGGGAACGGTACAGCAATGAGCAACGGTGCCAACGCGCACCAACGATTTTCCAACAGTTGTAACATTGCGCTGAGCGAAACACTCTGCAGACAGGAGACCTGCACGGGGCCCCGTGTGCAAGACCGATCGAACGGTCTCCAAGATCACAGGGCCCCGTTGCCACCGCAGGTTATTTTGCAGGTCCTCCCTAGCACGCCCATACCAACCCAACACTACAACTTACTCGCATCCAATGTCCACCGTGAGTGTCGCATGCGCCTCGCTATGCTTCTTCTTTTTCTTCTTTTTCAATTTTTACTTTCATCTCTCTTATTTCGCTTTAAAAAGTACGATATTATTAGTTCGTCAGATCATGCCTTTGAAGATATTCAGAATTTGGAAAAATAATTAATATAGATATCTATATTAATATAGATAACAATAGTATAGATTAATTACTAATGATTAATTAGTAGAGCTATAGACTCAAAAAATTTCAAAAATTTGATTTTAAGAAGATTCTAATATAATTTTTATGAACGAACGGAAAATTTTACACAATCTGATCAGGCCTGATTGATACCTAATAATTAAATTTGAATTACTTATTATTTATTTGATTTAAAAAATTTTGCTCTTTGAAAGCCAATATCTTTATTTCCAAGTGATTTTTTTAGAAATTATTAAAGTTATCACAATGTTAAAACCGAAGTTTTGAAGCAAAAGTATTTCAGAATAAAACTGCTCCATACAAAGAGTCAATGATTCAAAATAAGCACCTGTTCACAAATGGTATGAACATGAAAATATTTAACAATTTCTTAGATTTATATCTTTTTTTAGCACTTTTATTTGTTGCACTAATAGGCATTGTTAAATATTGCTTAAAAAGTTATCTATAACGTTTGTATTTGTTAAGTGTTCGTATATCATCACAACACATACACGTACACATACATAAAACATAATGCTTTACAGCTGTGAATGTAAAGTCGCAGTAATAATTAATAAAATAGTGAGCACTGTTTTTAGAAAAAGAAGGAACAGTGGTTTTGCAATGCAAGTTTATGAGTAATTTTTTTTATTAATTAAAAAATTGCAACAATTTGATGTACATATATTACAAATTCTTTTAAAATATTAATATTTCCATTTATCATTTATAGAAATTCACAACATTGTAAAATATAAATTCTGTTAATAATAATCTATCGATAAGTAATAGGTATAATATTAGTCTTATAATATACGTAGATATAAATTAATATTAAAAAAAATTATAAATAATTTAAATAATTAGTAGACTTAACGTAAAGATTTACCAATTGCACAAGAATTATAACTTTGTTCACAAAGTTTTTTGACCTTAAATTTCACTTTGTGCTATTCCATTATAATATAAAGCGAAATTACGTGGAAGATTCGGGATAACAAGGCATATCGAATCACACGTGCGATTAAATATTTATATAAGCGTTGACCAAAAATTAACCGACTGAAATGTCGAACCATTCCTTCCTCTTCATTTATGCCTTTATTGATGTGGTTTATGCTTGTACATCGCTTTATGTGTAATCTGCGTGCATATACTATTCATGCACCATTCAGCAGTCGTCATCAACGATCTTCAATGCAGTTTCTGAATAAGAAACTGCAAAGCTATAGTGTAAAATATTGCTCGCTTTTTTACGAGCTCTATGTTCGGCATTCAAGGTAATCTTCCATATAGATTTCGGTTGCGATATAATCGATACGCATTAAGATAATAATTTAATATGCCATCAGTTAATCAACATATTCAAAAATATGAGAAAGTAAAAATAGAAAAAAAAAGAATTGAAATAAACATGAACATAAATGATTATAAAAATTTGTATAAAATTTAATATATTATAATATCTCAGAAATTGTATTTCATACGAGTATAGAGAGTATTAATTAAATTAATAATTTCTAAATATATATTTTTGTCATTATAAACAATTATTTTATTAAATTAAGAAGAGATATCAAGCTTCAGTTATAATTATAAATGAATTCATTTTTAAACGTTTTTTATTTATTATTATTTTTTATTAAAAGAAATGTTTCAGTATTAACTTTGAATTTGAAAGTAAGAAATTTTTTTTTTAAATGCAATTGATTAGTTGCTTTACACCGATTCTCAGATAATTCTCACTTGTGACGTCATAACTCAGTTGAATGCGCGTTCCTTTTGCATTCTGACAAGTGAGATTTAACTGAGTTGTTGCCTACAATCTGCACAAGATCGAGACCGTGCTTTAGTGAGTCTCGTAATCTCGCTTTAAAAGTGAGGTTATGAACAATATGAACTTGTGTTGTCTTGTGATAACTTTTTACCAAAGTAAGCAAATAATGACGTCATTAATTTGAGTATGAAATACTAGCTCACTTCAGACTCAGTTTCACTTGTGTGCAAATGGAAAACAACTATTAACTTGCTATTGATGCCAAAAAATTGTTAATCTTGAAAAAATGTTTATTTAGGATAGACTTATTTGGTATATTCTTATTTCTTTTTAAATTTTTACAACATAAAACACTAAAGTATACAGATATATATTACTACGTGATTTGGTGTAAAAGACACTGAATGCTTAGTGTTGAGAGAATATGTAAGTATAGGATTATTTGTATGTAAAACAAAGAAATATAAAATAACTTTTAATAATTTTTATACCAGAAGTGTGCAAACGAAAATTCAAAATGTGCATACATATGCAAATGATAAGCAATCGAATGAACAATGGAAAGTTAATTTTTTCAAAAATTGGAGGGCAACTTCACATGAGTATGAAATAGCGTTCCTTTTCTCAACACAGAATTATCGAATTATTTCCATTCTTAAATTACATTATGTCTCTTTTATTAACATTTATCGGCTATTATGAAGACATTTCTTTTGACGTATCCGCAATTTCGTAGGACCATTGAATATTATGAGGATCAATTTCGATATTAGAATCACTCATCGCGGTCAATCTTATATGTTACAGCGACTTATCTCGATCCCGGCGGATTCGGGGATTCGAGGCAATGCTTAAAAGAGGGAGGATCGACGCCACAAACGCCTATCACGGGAAATCATCTTGATGTGCCACGATCTCTCGATCCGAATCCAAATCTGCTTAGTCCAGAAATTCTAATGCAAAGGAGAGGTCAGTTTTATTTATTAGTCGTTTAATGCACCAAAGAATACTTTCCAATTAGAGAAAAAAGTATATTAACTCTTTTTTTATTGTATACTAAAAGAAAGTTTTTAAACAAAAATTGTGTCAAATATAAAATTTTGCTATCTGATCTTATAATATTATAGCTTGTCATTTTTGTAAAAATTTGTTTTAGTTTCTTATAATCTTTCTATAATTTAAATTTAAAAACTGATGATTGAAAATCATTTAAAATAATGTTGAACAAAATTTTATTAAAATTTATTCTTGTGCATTTGATATACCTTTGCGTGAAATATATTAGTTTGAAGCGCTTTTAATTGTATTTCCATTGATAATATTTTTATTTTTGCAGTTATTTTAACAAATAGTTATGCAGTTCGTATTATACATCAATGTTTGTATGATACTAACGAAATTAAAATATCTATTTATTAAATAGTTGGCTAACATCCTCCTTCTTCATCTCAAGTTGATGCGATCAAAATAAAATTATCATATAGTATGCAAGTTTGTTTAAAATAAAACAAACTTTTTCTGAAGTATAATATTTTTAAGATATGGTAAAACATACTCTTTTGTCAATTAAATGTCTTCATAAAGTATTTAAATACTGTTCCCATGCTGAAAATTTAAAATTTCATGGCTTTGAATTTTCCTAAAATAAAACATAATTGAATACGAGTTACTTCTTATTATAATGAATTCTTAATTTTTAATATTAAGTGCACTGAAAAAAGAAGTGTTTAATTTTAAGATATTAAAATGTTTTATATTTGACTCCATTTTTTAAACACTTAAAGATGTTTTAGTTTTAAACTTTTTAAATAGACAAAATAATACGTGTTTGGATTTAAAACACTATACGTTTTAAATCCAATCACGTAGTGTTTTATCTATTGAAAATATTTAAAACTAAAACATCTTTAAGTATTTAAAAAATAGGGACGAGAATAAAACACATTTCTTTTTACAGTGTAAAATTAATTTTAAAGAAATAAAAGTTGCCTTTTTTTAACCAAAATTTTTTGTAATTGAATAAAAAATATATATGTCTGGCTATTTATTATATATATTTTCGAATTTTAATTCAATAAATTACTTATCTATTGAATTAAAATTAAATTACTATTTATCAAATTGCGTAATTAAGAAAACTATAATTTTAAGTATTAAATATTTATATAGTAATAAGGCCGTTTAAATTTATACAAAGAAAATATTAATTAAACCAATATTAAATCAATAATAAATCAGTTAAGTTAATACTATAAATCAACATATTTATCATATTAAACGCATTTAGGTTCAAAGATAAATTTTTTTATATATAATAAATCATAATAAAGCACAATATATAAATTTTAAAAACGTAAAAGAAGTATCGATATAAGTTAACAAGATATTTCGTATATTAAAGAGGGAGAGAAAGAGAGATATTTTGTTGGCAATATTTTAGGAAGCAGAAGACCAAGTATTCTACCAGTACCAGATATGTTGACAAGCTCGACGTTACATCTCCCTGGTCAAGAATCCTTAGACCACGAAGCTGACGAGTCTGAAGATGAAATGGATGATGATGTTCCTTGGAGATCGCCAAGCGAGAAGATCGCGTAAGTATTTTGTCTTTTTCTCGTCTTCCATCGTGATACATAACATCGAGGGATATCTATACTACAGCACGAAGAAGCTTATTGAGAAATAAATCGGATAGAGAAAATTATTAGCAGGAATTTTTTTGTCCTTTCTTCTCTTCTTCCGAATTGTTTAATATACGTTGTGAATATATCGACTTTAAGCACAATTGCAAAATTTTCTAAGGACAAATAATTTTGCACTTTGTCTCGCGCACCTGCATGATACGGTCTTGTGCAACGGATTTTTTATTTATGTGCATTATAAACGTATCTCTTATATACTTATGCATATTGAATGTATTTTATATTTTTTGTATCTGCACACTATTAATACATCTAAAGATAAGTAACTTGTTAAAGAAAAATCTGAAATTTTCGAAAATGAATAAATAAATAAATAATAATTTAATTATGTTATAATAATTTAATTAATAGATAATATTAATTTGTACTAGTCTTATTACAATATAAAATAATTCTTGATTTATTTTTATAAATTTCTTTAAAAAAGAACAAAAAGTGAAATTAGTTAGATTTTATTTTTATAAATATATAACGGTATCATACATATAACGGTATCATAGATCAAATTGGATAAAAATATTAAAGTACTTTTATGCAATTCACTTTTCTGATACAATTTATATATTTTTGAACATACATATTGATATTGCTTTTTTGCGCATAAATTAATTCTTAGTATTTAAAATTGTATTCACACACATTAGACTTGAATTGGATTTCTTTTGTAGTGAATCTTTTATCGAAATTGTCTTGTGAAATTAACAAAAAAAGAGGAAATAACCGCACAATATTTTATTTATTAGAAATAATTTTATTTTATATTTTCTTTAAACTTAATAAGTAGAATTCTCATGAACAAATAATGACGTTATATTTTTGGCTACTAATTTTTTAAATTTCATTTTATACATTATCGTGAAATTCTGAAAAAATCTCTGCTGAATTACATTGAAGATGGGGTCACTCATCATCACTCATATTTTTTTTATAAAAGCCGTGCAACGATTCGACGCGTTTTTAATTTAATGACACATCATGTTAAAACGCGGACGCGTCAGAAGCCATTGTAGCGTTAATTCTATGCCATCGAAAAATAGGATACTTACATAGGTATATTCTGGGAGTTATATGAATATGCTGTGTACCTCCTGGCTCTTCACGATATGCTTTCATCTTTATCTTACGTTCTCTCGACAACATGATCATGTCAGCAAGTTAGTGTTAGTTCGCGTGGGCGTAAGTGCTGACAGTGTAATGAAACGACCTATATTTGCACCCTCTAACTTTTACGCAATAAGCAAAAATGGTTGCAATTAGAAAATATCGTTCCATTAATTTGAATCTGAAATTTTATAGAATAACTTATAGTATAATTATTAAAATTTATAGTAATTATAAAAAATTGTATAACATATTATTAAAATTTTAATTTAATCTCAGTTTCAAAATTAAATCTTAATTAAATCTAAATTAAATCTTAATTTGAAAATTTAGGACGTATAAATAATCATTATATATGTAATTTACTCTATCACCTCTAATGAGCCTGTATTTACTTATGAACATAAACCTTATCCACTTTGAATATTATAATATTTTAGTACGAATTGCAAATTACCGTTTTTTATTATAACATGTTTATAATAATAAAATAATTAAAAATTTGTTTCCTTAATTATCAATTACGAACTTTCAATTTATTGCAGAAAATATTAAAGTTATCATGTCTATATACCTATCTAAACATCTATGAGTTATCTTAAAGCATTTATTGATTTAACAGAAAGATTTAACATTAATTATGAGTTTCAGATATATTAACAATAAAATTTTATCTTAAATTTTGATATAAAAATTTACTTAGAATTGACATTATAATTAATTGATCATTTGTTCTTACCTTCTAATTTTTATTTTATATGTGTCTACTTTTTAATTGAGAAAAAAACTTTCTTTGTAATAATTAATATTATGTGTCTGTTGTACAGAAAGAGTACGCGTTTCTTAAAATTTTATGTGAATAATAAAGAATATTAAAATATGTGTGTATTTTATCATTTATATATAACATGCTAGAAGTAGATAAGAAGTATTTTCGGACTTTCGAATAAACGCAGGCTTATTAGAGATGACAGAATAAATGATATGTACAGGATGTGTTTTCTCTAACTTTAGCATCTAAAATAGATTTGTTTTTAATAATATAATAAAATGTCAAAGGAAAAATTATTCATTCGGAAAGAGTAAATGTTATGATAAGCAAAAAGTTCTTTTCAAAGTTATAGTTCTTAAGATTTCGAGATTATTGCCATTTTTTAAATAGAATTTTTTACATAATATGATTTCTCTACTTATTATGCATATAAAAACATTAAGGTAATTATATTAAAAAATCAATAATTTACGAAATATTTTATACTTTATTATGACAAACAATATAAAGTATCTAATCCTTTTTTTATAACTGTATTCTAATATACTTTTATACGCAGAATAATGAGATGGATCAATAAGAAAATTTATATGTGTACGTGCGATATTGATATAGTATGTAGTGATATGTTAATGACACGTAAATCGTATGTATGTAAGTCCTACTGAATCGCTAATCAGACTGATTTAGAATTCCCTTAATATCGCGATAATCTTGAAATCTGAAAAAATATGATTTAAAGAAAAATTTTGTTTATCAACATAATATTTACCCTCTCAAAATGAACAATTTTTTCCTTCAATATTTTGTCATATCATAAAAAACAATGGAGCTATCTTAAATGCTCGATTAGAAAAACGTCCTGTACGCGAATTATTTGCGCGGGCATCGTAAATTTTTTTAAGTAAGATTTTAATGGCTTTAATATTTTTTTTATTTTAATAGTCTTAAGTAGCATTAGTGCTATGCCTATATAGCTAGCAGTAAATATGATCTCTGATATCTCTCCATAGTTAAGAAAATTTGGAATGTTTTTGTGCAAAATAATATAGAGCTTCAAAGTAGGTCCCCACAGTTAGATTCAACTATGAATTTTTTTATTACAATTTGTATTATTTTATATTTTTTATCCATCTTTCTGATTGTGAGAAGCGTGAAGTATCGAACACGATAGATCAGATGATTTTATGCGCAACGCGAATGTTTTGTCGCACTGCAGTTTATATTCATCTTTGATCGTTTAAGTATAATCGTGCAAATCAATGGTCAATGTATCCTGTCTCAATGTCTCTATGCCTGTTTCACTAACGGCACCGGACGGTGCCGTTGAATTGCTGCTCGATGCTGTCCTGCCTGACACCTTATATGTCCTCATGGATGTTTTCGATGTCTTCCTTCTTGCATCATCCTTGTGCACTGCCGTCTTGCCGCACGACTTCCGTCCAGCAGCTTTAAAGGGTGAGTCTCTTACTTAACGCTTCTACACGTTTCTCTATTTGATTTGCTTATTTATTTATTAAAATATATTTTATTTGTTTTAATTTTACTTATTATAATATAGTTTATTTAATTTTACTTATTATAATATAGTTTATGTAAATAGTACGTCTTACATAACTTAGAGATTTGCTCGTTAAAATGATGTCGTAAGTATATATCGGAAATAACACAGTATTTCGACGTCAAGAGAAGTTATACTATAATTGTAGAATTATTACAACATTGTTGTAATAATTCTAGAATTATATTATAATATACGTGTTATAAAATTTAATATTTCAAATGTTAATTGATTACATATCGCAAGCCATATATAAAAATTATATAATATCAAATCCGTAATAAAATACAATTAATAGCATATATGTATTAATTCAGGATAATAAATAATTTTAATTTTAATTTTGTTGTTACTTAAAAAAGAAATTAATAAAGGTTAAAAATAAAAATTGAAGTTTTACACTAAACTTGTATTTACAATCGTTAATTTTATCATAAAAAATTCTTAAATATTTTTAATGTAATTAATCATAGTTATGCATAACTTTAATACCCCCCTATGTAATTTACAAACACAATAATATTATGAGCGTGATAAATGCTTCCGGTCAAACATGATACTATCTCAATATTGAACTCTTTATAGTTTGAATCGCGTGACATGAAGATACTGACGAAATCCGAGAGTATAGTGTAAACCGATTTGCTCCCTTTCATCTCTTTAAAATGACTTACCTCCAGCTTTCAAGAAATCCAGTACCCCCCTCCCCCGAAACCAGTAACCCGAGCAGCACAATTCATTGGCGAAATATTGGTTAAACATTGGCATACATTGGGGATATGTTGGGCCAATGTTGCGCTGATGAATTGTGCTACTAGGGAAATAACGTTCGAGAGAGTTTTCGAGCTTTTTTCATGGAAGATCTACATATTTTTGCGCGTATATTTTATAGAAAACTATTATACATATACCTATATTAAGTTAAATATATTAATACAAAACAAAAAGAATTAATTTAATTTCCAGTATTCTGTAACTCTTAACGACAGTTCCGTATCGTTATGTTGTTGCATAGCTTCTTTGCCATATACATATGACATCTGCATAACAACCAGTGTATCGACATTATCATTAAAAATTACAGAATCGGAATACAGTTGAGGTCTGTTCTTTTTATATATCAATAATCATCTTTCCAAATATCACTGGATTGTTCCAAGCAACATTTGACGCTTGATAACATGATGCCGATCTACCATCTTACACAGAGCTGCAATTGGGGCAAAATAATCAAATTTTAACAATATTACAGGATTGTCAAGGGATTTCCGCCAGTTTCACCTTTTATTGGAGTCTCGCCAACCTTGTGTTATCTTCTTAAAGAAAAGAAGCCTCTCTGTTGCCTTCAGCTGGCTCAGGTATGTATAGCACTACAGATTAGAAAGTAAAAATAAACTTTAAAAATAGTAACGATTTCTTACATTCGTAATTCTTTTTTCTGTTTTATTAGGTGTGCCAGCATTGCAGTTATAGAAACGCCAAAGAATACAATTGGCAGAATAAGACTATTATATTGGCAGCCGATTATGCTAGCAATGGAATTTATAACTTTATAATACCACTGAGGGCACATTTTAGGTATTTATTGCATCATTAATATATAATTGTTTATTGATAAACATTACAGTTTGTATTATACACTAAACTTCATAAAATGTTTTCATATATTAAACAGAAATTCATGTTGTTGCTTTGCAATTATATTAATACTTTGATTCAAAATATCTCAAATATTATTTTAAATCAAAATATTAACGCAAGAGTTACTAAACGCCAGTTTTAATGGCCTTAAAACCGTTTATAATTAATTGCATTTTTATAATATAAAGTGTATTTTAAGAACTCTTACATACATTTTCGTGTATATATATAGGGTGTTTCCAAATTAAATGGCAAAACTTCGGGAGCGTGTAGAGGAGTAAAAAACTAAGAAAAAAAGTCCTATAGACATATGCTCGTTTTTGCTCCGTTTCAGAGAAATCGAAAAAAAATGTTTACATTTCTTGCCATATCTAGCACCGACATATTTGATTACATTTTCCACTTTCTGTTATGAATTTGTCAGTCGCTCTTTGAAAGCCTTTAACAGTAGATGAATTTTGTCTTTTGCAATATGCCGCGTACGTATTCTAATAGTGAATATGCTGATATGGTTTTTGTATACGGTTTCTGCAACGGTAATGCTTTAAAGGCGGTGCGAGAATATGCACGACGATTTCCAAACAGAAGAGTGCCAAACCGAAGAGTGTTTATGTTGACATTTAATAGATTGCGAGAGACTGGATCATTTTCAATTCGACAAGAAAACAACCGATTTCAAGCAGCGTTACGAAGAGATTTGCAGGCAGGGAATCGTATTTTACAACATTTTGACAATCATCCTGAGACC